CCCCCCCGGCTTCGGCCTTCATCCCTCCCGCCTCCGGATTCCAGTATTCGACAACGTTTCCTGCTTCTTCCGGTTGCAGCTCAACGACTCAAAGAGCGTTGACTTGTTGTCCCGCTCCTCCCTAGTCGCTTGAAATCGCTCCGGCCTTCACCGCAGCCTCTGCTCCAGCCCCATCTCTCCGGACTCTCTCCTCATCGAGCTTCTTGTGTCTTTGTTTATTGGGTCTTTGTTTGTAATGCCTTGTTTTATGTTCTGAATTACGTGATGTTCTTTTAAGTCAATGGTGTAAACGTCATTTTCGGTTATTAATAAATTTATGTCTTGCGTCGTGGTTTGGATTAACTCCGGCCCGAATGATTTCTAATGCAAACATTATGCTCGTCACTAAAGATATTTTTTCGTAAAAGTTTACATTAAATATAGATCTCTCACATTTTATTCTTAAAAACTGAATTGGAAGTCCAAGAATTTACATCTTTTAAATCAATATTAATTTTCATATTAATTTTCATAAATCATACAAGTATGCACAACAAACCTTCCAGAAAATAAACAAGAATATGAAAGACTGGAAGCTGACCTGAGCAAGAATGTCATTAATAGATTCACTTGCATCCACGTCACCCTGGCCCAACATTCTCATAAGCTTAAGTACTCTGATGTGTAAAAATGGGTCCGTAATTCCAGAAATGTCATACTCAGGCGCATAGGAGCTGTTGGAAATATCCTTTAGTATCCGGACTGATCCCTCTGTGCAGTTCTATGGTCAAGGTGGAAAATTATTCTAAATGTAGAAAGTAAATACTAAACGAAGGAAAAAAATTAACAGGAAACAAGACTTGAACAGTAAAATGACAAAAGAATGCGCCCAAAACATATATTCCCATAGAATATGGAAATAAAGTAGCAACAGCTTTAAAACAAATGTCAAGATATATTAATAAATGAGGTAGAGCCAGAAATAATATTAGAATGTAAAACACAGACAAATATCTTCAGGAAAACCACAGAAATTCCTGAATTTGTTACCACGCACGTTAAGTAACAAAGCCAAAACTTACGAAATAACGGTTATTTGAAAAAATGGGTGGATTAATTTAATGCAATTGTTAATAAAGATTGTTTTAAAACTTTAAAAGAAATTGGAGTAAAGACAAACTTTAAAAGAGATTGGAGTAAAGACGATACTCACAGCTGTCACAATAGAATCAATGCAGACATGATGTTTATGAATTTCAACAAGTTTAACAGCAGCACTAGAATTCAAGAATTGCAGATGCTTCGTTGCGTCAAAATAGCATGAAATCATCACAAAAACAAAATGCTTCCAAGGCCATGGTAGCACAGTCAAGGAAACAAAACGTCAAGGAAACAAAAATTGCTCATAGCATGGCCATTGCTTCGTTGTTATTTAACGTTACAAAGCAGTAATTACCACTGCCGCACCATCATTGAAAAAAAAAAAAGGAATTGCAAATGATAATTTTAATGGCGTCAACTATAATTACATTTGAAGAAAAAAATCATCTGAACTATGCTTTCAAAAATACGTATTGATATAAACAATGAGGAAGCAACAGCAGTTTATATTGTTCTTTAAATACCTACCCTGCATGAAATGGCCATTTTAAAGCCATACATGGATTGTTTATGCTCTACCTAGGATAGTAAAAATCTAAGTAACACATAGAGTCTATCTGACAGGAGTGTCCCGTCCAGATGGGACGGACGGTATGAGATTTCCTATCCTGTGAGACCTGTAGCGGGAAACTTTCCACCTATTGAATTAAGGCAAGCCTTGTGGGCCATATTTGCCTTTTTTTTAATTTATAATCAGGCTTTAATTCTTGTACTAGTATAAGTATGTTGTTATAGAACATGTTGGATACCTTTGGTTCTGATTTTTTGCAATTTAGATATTGATTTCTGGATTTCTGCTCCAGGGAGTGGTGTAACTTCTCCTTCAAGCGGCGAGCCACTATATTGATTAAAAGTAGGTGGTGGAATCTCCTTATGTCTGTCCTTTGCCAACCCTTTTTCCTTCAAGAAGCAGCCATCCTACTTCCCTCGCCTGAATCCTAGCCGATATGAATATTTTTCTTCTTTTCTTTATTCCAACAATACAACCAACACTTGAATTGATCCTAATGCACCGTCTAAGGACCCTAAAAAAGTATCACTATCAAAAAGAATCAAAACTTTAAAAAGATTGACCGTTATAAGGAAGTTTATACCATTCTAATTCCCACACTTTGAACACAAAAAGCTTCAGTATAAAATCAAAATTTTCACAAGAAAATTAGGGTTAAGATAAATATTTGTAGTTGGTAAAAAATGATAATTATGAGTTAGTTGTTGGATGACCGAGTAAAGCCCAAATTTGACAAAAATTGAACACGTCTATCTAAATTAAGTAACTTCAATTTCATATGCTAAATATGAAAATTATAAAATGTTTAAATCCTTTCATACTCAGACTACTTATGCCTCCTATGTAGCCTGAGTACAAACATCAAAACAAACACATTCCGATGTGAGAGAAATAAAATACAAGTAAAAAAGAAAAGAAGCATGCTTGCTTCAAAAACTTGATGCACTTCTCCGAGTAACATAACAAGTGATAGAGGATGAAGAAGACAACATCAAAATGTGAATGTGATCTCTAAGTCAGTAGGCACATTTAATGCATGGAATCAACCTACCAACCATGCTTACCAACTAATTTCAAACTTTAGATGAAGCTTTGAAACAGTAAATGACTGAGAAATCAAAGACATGAATAGCAATTTACCATTCAACTCATAAAGGCTCTACTCCAAATCTAAAATGCAGAAAAACAATAAATGTATTATTTAATTTATCATGATATTAATGAACTTGTGAGGAAAAAAATCTTTTTTTTTGTGATTTCCTGGGGATTTAGAGAATGAAATTGGTATCTTTTATTAAGAAGTTCATCATTAGATGGATCACGATTTTCAAAATTGAAAGAACACTAAAAAATAGATGCCTCCTATACATTAAAAGAGTGACCAACATCCGGTTAAGAAAACAAAATGCTATTAGATCAATCCAATCTTAGTTGATCCACATCAACAATTGGCCCAATCATCACATCCTTACACTTTGATGCAATAATTTTAGAAGCTAGAATTCGAGTGGCACAGCTTGATGCAAGCAAGGAGAAATAAATGCAGCTTCATAAGCATTATCAAGAAACACATCAAAGAAAATTTTCAGAATTCTGAGTAGTAGCACCATCCCATTTTTATTAGATATAAAAATGGTCTTATTATTAACATCTTGAGCCTAAAAATAATTATCCTCATTTAAAATAACTGCAGTCGGACAAGTGGTATTGTCATTGATAATTATAAGTTGACTATTAAAACACTATAAAATACCCATGTTTGACACGCTTAAAGAGCTTGAATCTATTATTGTTGCAATATAAACTCATTTATCCCAAAAAAAAGACTCAAGTTTTCATAACTGATAAAAAAATGAATTGAATAGAACTACAAAAAAGCTAAACCATAACATTTTTCAAGTTTTAGCCCTATCTTTAATTTTAGAAAAATTACACACATATACATAAATATATAAATGAAACTTGGAGCATCAAGCATACATACATGGATGCATGTATGATGGTCTTATCAATCATTAGGCATCCATAAGTAAGACATTTAAAGAAGCAATTTCAAAGTAAACATAAAAATAATACTTTTAGGATCATATCTTCATCTTTAACCAAATAACTAAAATTTAAAATAAACCTATTGATACACTATCCCAAGTTCCCCTATTTCCCTTCTTTTGATTTATATGCACAATAAATGTGTCTAATTTTGATAGAATGCAAAAATAACATTTGGCTTATGATTTATATATTAAATGTAGTACTTTGCATTCCCAGGACCTCCATTGATGATAATATTGTTAGAAATATATATGATGGCGCATGGCAAGTCACTTTGGTAGTGACAAAATTATGTATATACTTATATGTATGATTTATTTGCCTACCTTAAGAAGGGATAATTTTAGGATCGTTAATCAACACCATGCATGCCAAATACCCAAAACTATTACACATATTGACATAATACACTTTATTTATATCCCTTAGTCTCTGTGACGCTGAGCATTTCCTGCAATCGCCCGCGCAAATGCAGAACGGGGCAGCAAGCGCTGCCTGAACTGATTCAACCCAGGGGATCCTATGTTGTTGTAGAGTTTTTTTGTGTTTTCTGTCAAGACAGTCGTCGAAGTTCATGTTTTCCTTTCTAGGGTCGTATCCGATCACAAGTGATGCTCTAGTTGAACCTCGTACAAGATGGTGATTATTCTCGACCTTCCCACTACCTCCACAACCCTCCCTCAGTTGTCACCACCTTTGTATTTGTTGCAACCACCGAAAAACAGCTACTTTACTGTTTTCCTACAGTTGTCTACTACCTCTTCTCACCTCCCAATTTGATGTCCCTTGCCACCAACCCTTCTCCTCACTGTCATAATCTTGAGGACAACCCGCTTGCTACCTTTCTGTGATTCCAGGCCTCCCTAGTGTTGTCATCGCTATTCCAGTTATCCCAGCACCCTCCACCTTATCTCAGACTTATACCTCATTGTCGCAGCCCCCTAAACCCCTCGCCGAGTTGTCTACAACAGCTTAGCCATACCAACGCCTTCCTCCAGCCTTTTCATCCTACATCACGATAGAAGCCTTGCAACTCCATTGCCTTGTTGTGCTACCGCTCTCCAGCCATCCTACATCGCCACAACCCACTGCATTCTCCTGTTGTTCTCGCCCCACTATCCCACTATCTAACCAGCTAGGGTTTGTGTTTTCAATTGTTGAAATCATTTTTTTGTGAGTCCATTGTAATTTCATATTTGAATCCAAGTATAATATTAATTTTCATATTGTTGTTTGGGTTAACTCATGTATCATTTGATATCAGAATTAGTCTAACCCATATCCTAAGATTTCTAGCATCCCCACATGTCACAACCCGGCCATGAGCTTGAAATTAACCAAGACGAAAACAGAAGGTCAAAAGATGTAAACTAAATTTTCTATATTCAAATACAATTTAACATGCGGTATATTTAAATTTACCTCGTTACTGGTTGAAAGATCCACAATTTAACAAACGGTCGAAAGATGCAAACTAAATTTTCTATAAACGTTTTCTCGTCTATCATTCAACTTTTAATCAGTTAATTAACCTGAAAAGTTATTATCGGCCAAATAAATGTTGTGGATTATTTATTTATGATTTAACTTAATTTAATTTAAAACGTGAATTAACTCCTCGTCCAATTTCTCATCAGTCAGACAGATCAAATTTTCATCCTTGTCACACGCGGATAAATTCCATAAATTTTCTTTGGAAACCCGAGAAATGTAAGTGTCATTTTTAACTATTTTCAGCATCTCCAACATGTCAACATAGTCTGTTTCACTAAACAAGAAATGATTGAGTATTTTCATCACATGTTATGCGATTTGAATTGGCCTTGTACAAGATGGATATGTTTTCCGTCGTCATCAACATGTATAATTATTTTGACTTGTGTTATATATTTGAAAGTCAACATGAAAAAACTAATGATGATGACATAGCCATACGTAACTTAAGTCAAACAAAATATTGGCTAAGATTTGTTCACAAGTATAACAAGCATTCTGCAAAGAAATCTTTAAAAAATAAAATAAATTATTCTATAAAATTAAACATGAATGATATGCTCATCACACACAACAATTTTATTACCACTAAATTGCAGTAAAGTGTGATCAAAGCATCAAAGACGGATTGATGACAACACATGACATTCCTCAGGTTTCCAGGGCATCATTAATACTGATGGATAATATGATATTATGTCGTTATCCTACAATCAATTTGCAGAACACATCACAGGCAACATTAGAAATTTGTTTTGAGCAAAATACCTTCCTCAAGTATACAAGGGCCTCTGGGCTAGCTCTACAAAGATCTGTACATAGCTGAACTCCAGCAATAAGAACGCCATGATGTTTTTCCTTCAGTAAAGCAGCAGCAGGACTCATAAAGTTTTCTGCCAAATCAGGAACTTTTCTTACAATCCTTATGGAACATAGTGCAGCCTGTACAGCATCACAAGCCAACATCTATTAATGACATGAGAATGCTACAAAGAAGAAAAATGAAAACGGCAAAATTAAAGTCATGAACGCTAAGACAAACCTCATAGTAACTAAACTAGTGGACATACAATAAAAAAATCATTAATTAAAAAAATAAACACTACCGCTACCTCCTTAGGTGCTTGAATGCTGATGGATTTATAGCAATGATATAAATGGCATGAGAATTGTTAAGGGAAGCTCAAACAAAACTTAGCAAAAAAAAAATGAAAAATGAAGATTCGTAAAACCAACCTGAAATATTTGAGACGGAGATAAATAAATGGGATAACCATGATGATTAGACTTGTAGGAGAAAGGCTTCTGGTCTTACAGAGCGGGGGGATCATGAAGGAATAAGACAAAGGATGCTAGTTGCTTGGGGCAACAAATGAATGGTTATTTTGCATTGTGGTGAGAGTTTATCCTTCAATTGTATGGCTTTAGTGGACTTGGGAAAGTTGATTGAGAGGGGTCGAAGGATTTTAGGGTTTAGTAAACCTAAGAAAGTATGAAAGAGAAGGAGGAAGATCTGTGAAGGAGTTAGGACAGCTTTAGATAAGTATGGGAGGGTAAAAACAAACAGCAAGTTTTAGGATTTTGATTGTTGGAAGAGGCAACTAATTGCAAGATGGTCACAGTTGTTGCGAGGTTGTAGGGAGATAGGGGGGGAAAGGGCTAGGGGCAGGTTTTGAGGTTTAGTCAAGAGTGAAGAAAGGGGTAAAGAATAAGCAAAGGAAGAATTAGAACTCACCAAAGTTCTCTTCTAAAGAAGCTACCAAAACTCCTTCAAACTTGCAACCAAGCAAATTAATATGTCATTCATTCGATGATTTAAAGAGAGTTAGCTCATATATTTACAAAGACAAGAAAAAATAAATAATAATATCCTAGTCAGGCTCATGCATGTCAAAGAAGGAAAGGCAGTGGTTCCAATTGCTTGCAATCTTCATAAATCTTCATTTGATTGGCCATCCAAGCAAATATGGAAGGAAAGTGATGTTCAATTGCATTACATGTCACTTGAACAACAAGGTAAGGGCTAACCATAGTAGAAATCCACAGAAGGGCATCGGCCAAGCTTAAATAATGAACTTAATTTGAAGTTAATGAATTTAATGATAATGATGCTAGAAATCTTGATGTACTTCTACTTCTCTAGTTTGTGATTTAGTCACTGATCCATACACATATACTTTAGTGCTTGTGTTGCATCAACTTCCACATCTTGACAGTACCATTCAAAAATAAAATAGAGTCAAACCAACTTTGAGTCTGATTGGCCATAGTGATGTCATATCACATCTTATAAAAATAATAAATTAAAGATGTTGAAGTAAAAAAAAAAAGGTCCAATCATTTTCTCTTCTAAAGTTAGCTCTGATACTCTCACATCAGAAAAAACCAAACCTTTCAAGGTCAGAAAAGTTCAAAGGCACTTATAATAGCAAGTATGTGTGTGTGCGCTTATGGAAATTAGCATTCAAGTACCACTCCTTATACCAAACAAATTATTGATATATTGGCACTCCCCATTCCATTCAAGTAGAAAATTCGAACAAAGGAAAACAGGGAAGTGAAGTTATTCATTGCAGGCTGTACTAAAAATTAGCACAAGAGGCTGATGGAAATGTGCATGAAGTACAGAAGACAAAGGCTCACTTCTAAGACAATTTATTGGACAAAAATAACAGCTTTCATCAGCAAGAATAAAGAGGGACATCTACCGCCCCTTAGAATAAATGCATTGACTTTAACCCAACGTCAATAGATAATAGAAACAAACTAAAACTAAAAGGGCCTCAAGAATTCAGACGGTTTGCTGGTAGTACATGGTATAAATAAACTCCATTCAATCTGTCAGATAAAGTTACAGAGTTAAGATGCATAAAAAGATCCTAAGTAATTTTGTAGACATAAACCCAAACAGATTATGAATATAGGAATTTCTATCAGCATATGTAGCTTATCCTAAAATAAATTTTGAAAAAGTATGTGACTACACACCATAAATTGAAGAGATAATGAACTGGCACTTTGAAGGTCCTAAACTGAAAAAAAAAAAGAAATTCAAGGATTACATTGAATAGCGAGAAAACTGAATTACTTTTTTCTTAATGTTTGGGTCGCGACTTTGCAATAATCGCTCAACTTCTGGAGCAAGATCCCGTGCCATTTCAGCAGAACAAATATTTCCCAAAGCACATAAAGCAAGACCAACGATATACTGGTTTGAATGATTGAGATCTCTATAAATGAATCAAGGCCACCAAAGAAGAACTTCAAACAAACCATTTTAACTAAAATTTGTGATAATGTGTAAGAAAAAAAAAACAAATCCAAATAAATAACAAAAGGTTAAGGATACTGCTTTAAGGAGTTTGTGACCAGCATAAGAACTTCCTGCCTCTCGTCAAGAAGCAACATAAGACCAAGATATCCTATTCGTTTCTCAGGGAAGCCGGCAGATGCTATCAATTTGAGACATTCCATTTGCCCAAAATGAGTGGGATAACCAAGCATGTGAATGAACATAAGTTTTGCAAGGTTACGATGCCTGTATTCTTGGTCATTGTCACTAACTGCAGCACGGATAGCAGCACACTCTTTTCTCACAACAGCCCGTTCTTCCGCAGCAGTTTTGCAGGCCCTTATAGCTCTAATCATATCTCTGCAATCATAAATTAAAACGCGAAACAGAGTTACTAAATCTAAGTACATCGCAAATGAAGAATTCCAAGGGCATAATACAATAAAATGGTAACAAAAAATGGAAAATAGTTAAGATAGGCAAAGCAGGCTTATTTCATAATGCAATAATTAAGAAAGCGCAAACTCATCGCAATAGAGAATCTATAAAAAACGAGACTCCATTTAAACTGCTATTTCTAAAGTTCCTTCTCTCCACTATGACAGCTGAAAATAGTAGTTCACAGGTTTATGTAAAATAGATGGTATTTTCAATTTCATTATATGAAATTCCATCTACAGACAGATGCTTGAAGATCCACAGCTTCATATTTGCGCTTTGAGGATTGAGCATCTTGCCTTGAGATTTGGAATAAGTATTCATTGTCTATTTCTTTTATCTTCCCGTTTTCTCATTTTTCTCCTAAATCCTATGTTCCTGCATTTGGTTAATAAACCTGCATCAATTTAGTATATGATATGAACTTCATACAATCTATAAGGGTTATGAATCATCTGTTGTTTTATATTGTTAAGCTTCAACTGCAATAAAATTTGATAATTTTTTTACAAAATAAAATATATCTCAAATTTCGGATTCATCATATTTCATTCAAAACAATTTTATGAAATTTTATGTGTTAAATAGAGCAATTTGAAATAAAGCATTGTATTTCATTTATGATCAAATTGGGAAATATAAAATTTGAAAGTTATAAGATTTATTAAATTAATTAAATTTAATTAATCCCAGATCCTACATTAATCTGGCAGCTTCACTGTAGCCAACGGACCTCTCTCCCGCCTTTCATTCCATTCGATCGATTGATTACGACAAGCGAGCTTTGATTCTGTCCCCCCTCCCTCTGCCGCTTTTTCCTAGGCGAAGGAAGCTCGTTCGGGCCCTTATACCAAGGTTGCAATCGTTGCTACAATGCAAGGGCCCGAACAGTAGCGGATAGCGCAAATCAAGCAGCACCTGGGTAGTCATAGCCCGCGATGCAGGGTTCCTTGAAATATGCATTTGCATTACTATAACAAAAAAAGAGTACAAAAAATATTAAAAAAAAGGCCTATTCTGACAAAACATGGGCCCGATCAAAATCTATAAAGGGAAAAAGGAAGTGTGTATTATCCACATTCCTAACAAAAAACTATCTATTGCCCGATGGGCATAGGAATGAGCCACAATATTCTTTTTTCTATCAACATGTTGAAAAAGAACTTGATTGAACAAAAGAAGGAAAGAAACTCCATTGTCTTGCGGCGGTTGCTTCCAAAAGTTAGCCATTTTAGAGAGCTGTAACGAGGAGATGATATTATGATTATCATTTTCCAAAATAATCCCCTTAAATTCGAACATCCAAGGCTCCAAGGAATGTTTGATAGTAGAGATAGCCAAGAGTTCCACCTTAGAACTGTTCTAATGCTCCACCGACCGCCTGCAAGGATGAGGTCCCCTTTTTCATCTCTAACAACAGTACCCACACCACCTTTGTGTGATGGTAGAAGAGCACCGTCCACATTAAATTTAAGCTAGCCAACCCGGGGGGGGGAGATACATTTCTAAATTTCAGTAACTGTATTTATTTCAAAATGTATGTTTGACTCTATATATGCTCTAGTTTACTTAGATTCTTCTTATTGTTAGAAAATATATGCACGCTAGAAAATTTCAAGTAACATAACCCTATGCTAATTCAAGAAGAATAATTCAATTTACAGAGGGGGTGATACATTTCTAAATTTCAGTAACTGTCTTTATTTCAGAATGTATGTTTGACTCTATATATGCTCTAGTTTACTTAGATTCTTCTTATTGTTAGATAGAAAATTTATGCATGCTAGAAAATATCAAGTAACATAACCCTATGCTAATTGAAGAAGAATAATTCAATTTACGGAAATCACTTGAATCTTAAAATTTAATATTATGTTTTATGGGTTATTGAGCTCAACAAAACGTTCAGCCAGTTACCGAAGATCAAGAATTTAGTGTGGCAAATGAGGTGAGTAATTACATTTCTAAATTTTAATAATTGTGTTTATTTCATAATGTATGTTTGACTCTATGTATATTCTAGTTTAGCTAGAATTTTCATATTGTTATATAGAAAATATATGCATGTCAGAAAAAATATAAAAAATATGCATTAAAGATATGTATGAGATGCATGATATGGATAATACATATGATATGAAAGATAAACATGATACGAAACATGTATGCATGATAAGCACGATAGAAAATGATATGCATGAAGTAATATGCATGATGATAGTTATACAGCAGAATAGTAGTAAGTATGCATGTAAGTAAAATGCATAAAAATATCTCAGAAAAATGTATGTTATGAATAATGAAATAACTTATATAAAAATGTTTGTATGTGCATATTCCAAGAAGAATTTCATTCCCTAATAGTACAGGCAGAGAATATCAGTTTACCCACGCGCATAGAGTTTTTCTACCACCACAAACAATTGTGATGGTTAGATCATTAACCTTAATACCGACGGGATAATATCGGCCAGAGGCGAGTAGACCAAAGCTTACCTCCCTAATAATTATGATTTTTAAATTGCAAACCGCTGTGTCGGCAGGATAATATCGGTCAGGGATCGGTAAGGGTTCTACACTAGATAATTGTGATGTGTAGATCGCTAACCACTGTTCTGACGGGAGCCGATGAAGCAATATCAGCCAAAAGTGTGTTAGAATTATTAACGGTGATTCTCACAGAGACGTGTTTGTATAGTGTAAAATAAAAGTAAAGCTAAAGTAAATTTTTATAGAATATTGGGTTGTTTCATTTAGAAAAACTCATTGAAGCATGCATTAGTTTATATCAAAATGTTTATAAAATTATGAAAAACCAGCATATTATAAAATTTCTTATAGACTCGAATGCATATTATTTTTTTTTTCCTTAGATTATTGTAGTTTAAATGTGTGATTACTCATGAGTTATCTTTAGATAACTCATTATGTTGTTGTAATATTTTTTTAGGCTTTAAACATTTGAACAAGATGAATAGAAGGCGAGAACGACAAAAGGAAAGTTATAAATTTCTACTTGTTAATTTTAATTGCTTTCTTTAGTGACTTTCATGTATTATTTGAATATTCTTTAGAATTAGAATTAGAGCAGGAGTGAATTGATTTTCCACCGGCCGATAGTAGGTTCCCTTCTTGGTTAACTCCAAGCCCCTGGTCGCGTCGTGACAACAACTCACTCAAACAATACCAGATATTGTTTATGCAAATAATAAATGCACGCAATTCTTTCAAAATTATATATATATATATATATATATATATATATGTTTGTCAATTGAAAGTCTCCTGTGGTCTGGGGTTCGATTTCCCCAAGTGTAGTTTGTGGTACTCGAATTCTTAGGCGCATGGGGGATGGCTGGGGCTCGTATAATAGCCCCCGATCATTCCTTTTAAAATTAGGACCCAATCTATTCTTATTCTGACCATGTCCTACTTGAGAACCTCTAACCAAATTGTACATAATCTGAACAAAATTAACCGTGTTCAAATTTATAACTTTCACCTCTTCATAACCATCCCATTTACAATCAGATTATCTTGGGTTCCCAAACCCTAACTTGATCCAATCAACCCAACTCAACTATATGTTTCCACATAAAAATAAAAAATAAATAAATAATTATATGTTTCCACATTTTAGTTGCCTAGCCTTCATCAAGATACAATCAAGTTCTAGAGAAAAGAGATAACGAAGAAGGATAAGAATGATGAATCTTTTATAGTTAATGTTCATATATCACACACACAGAGACACACAGATACAACCAAGTTCAGTTTATTGTTCATATAACACGCACAGAGAGACACATAGACACACAAAGACAAACATACATACATACATACATATAGACTCTCTTAATGTGCTTAACAATTCTAGTACCACGCTCCTTAAGGCTCACATCATCAGAGGGGGATTCGAACCCCCGACCTGAGGGGTCTTACACCAAGCATGAAACAACTAATGAAAATTGGATGGCTGTAAGATTTTAGCAGAATATTTAAAGTTTATATAATAACTTAGATACTAATAACCTAAGCAATTCTATTTATTTTTATTCATTCCTGTAACCTGTAGCTGCAGGCTGAATAGAGAGCAAAAAGGGGTTTGGTCAAAGGGGAAGAATAAGACATCAGAAAAGAGAAAGAAAAGGCTTGAGAATAAAAGATAAAATCCGACTTCAAGTGTTTTCCTTATGCAGTTTGAGTTAGCTCTTAAGTTTTAGGCATAAAGGATTGAATATGATAAACTCATTTTGAGGTAAAATATTATTTCAAGGTTATTTGATTTGATTTTGAATTATTAAATTAAGAATTCATTTAAATGTGGTATTTTATTACCTTGGGTACGAAGGATCAACATAGCAGAGTGATAAAAGAGAGAAAGCTTGTTTTGAGGTTGACAAAGTAATTGTGATAAGATATTGCAACTCCAACATAGTGAGCATATTATTCAAAGGTCTATTGTTTGTGAATTCCTGTAAATATACAACAACAGCAACAAAGCCTTAATCCCACTAGGTGAGGTTGGCTACATGAATCCTTTTTCTCCATTGTGTCCTATTTAGCGTTATATTTTCATTTAGTTCTAATAAATTAAGATCATTTTTTATACAATAAGCCCAAGTCTTCTTAGGTCTACCTCTGCCTTTCTTAACATAAGTCGAATCTAAAACATCTACTCTCCTAATCGAATCATCAGATGGTCGACGCTGAATTCCTGCAAATATATTCTACTTTAATGTAATTGATCATAGACATACTTCATATTAAGTTTGTTCACAATATCTAATAATATAATTAATCAAATACTTTACACATGTTTACCTATTTAAGCTAATTATAGGTCATTTTTTAATTGTATGAGATTTATTATATCATGCAAATTCAAGTAATCAAACATCACTAATATATTGACACA